TTAAATTTACTTAAGGTTTTATCAAGTACAAATTGGGGATCAAACTCTTCCACATTACTGAAATTATACAGAAGTCTTATCCGATCAAAATTAGATTATGGTTCTGTAGTATATGGGTCCGCAAGAAAATCATATCTTCAAATGCTAGATACCATTCATCACCAGGGTTTACGTTTAGCTTTAGGTGCTTTTCGCACTTCACCTGTAGAAAGTTTATATGCGGAAGCTGGGGAACCATCGCTTTATCATCGTCGTAAAAAACTATCACTTCAATATGCAACTAGAATTTCATCTAATAGGAAAAATCCAGCTAAAAATGTTATTTTCAAACCAAGTTATACTGAAAAATTTGTTAGCAAACCAAAGGAAATTAAACCATTAGGCCTTCGTTTAAAAGATGATTTAGATAAACTTAAAATTAATCCAGACAGTATCCTTCAAAATGACGATGAGGATGTTCCACCTTGGACTTATAATTCCCCGGAAATAAATATTAACCTTTCAAATATAAAAAAGGCATCAAATTCACCTGAATATTTCAAAGAAAAGTTTCTAGCAATTAAGGAAGAACATGAAGATTTTATACATATTTATACGGACGGTTCAAAAGAAGGTTGCAAAGTAGGTGCGGCTGTGTATGAAAATAATTTTACATCTAGTATGAGGTTACCAGATAATGCATCAATTTTTACTGCTGAAGCAAAAGCTATCGATTTAGCATTGTCATACATAGCACAGCATACCCACGATAAATTTGTGATAATTTCTGACTCGCTTTCTGTTTTAATATCCATTAAAAATAAAAAATGTGACAATATCATGGTAAAGAAACTTCTTTTGCGATTTCATGATATACTTAAAACAAAATATGTTAAATTATATTGGATTCCAAGCCATGTAGGAATACGAGGAAATGAAAAAGTAGATGCTTTAGCTAAACAATCATTAAATTTTCAAAAAACTGACTTATTGTTACCTGCTTGTGATTTTAGACCGGCTATAAATAAACTCGTGTCATCTGAATGGAAAGCAAATTGGGACAATGCCGTTTTTAATAAACTTCACGATATAAACCCATCTCTTGATATGTCACCATCTCTATCTCTGTCAAACCGCCGTGACCAAACAGTTCTTCTTCGATGCCGAATTGGACACACTAAAATTACCCACTCTTATCTCCTCACAAATGACAATGCCCCTTTCTGTGTAGGTTGTAATGAAAATTTTACCGTCAAGCATTTTCTTCTTGAATGTCATTATTTTTCACAGGCCCGTAATAGATTTTATTCTGTAAATTCACTCAAAGAACTTTTTAATACAATTCCATCAAAAAACATAATTGATTATTTAAAAGAGATAAACTTGTATTCTAGGATCTAATTGGCTCATTTTTATTGTCATTTACAATGTTTTACATAATATTTTAAGCCTATTATAGCATTCGGCACGATATGGCCAGTTATGTGTTGACGTGCCGTAAAAATCCAAACAAACAAACAAACAAAATTTTGTTTATATCTACTTAATTTAGGAGCTTTTTCAATGTCTGCCCATAAAAATATATTAAGGAGGTTAATAGTAAATTTTGTCAAATATAAAATACTTTTACTGTAAAGGTACTTATCTTTGCGAGAACTTTATTTCTGCTTTTTCTTCGGGAGACAACGAGACTGCAGTATGGTAAAGTTTTTTTTAAACTATGAAAATCCATTAAATAAAACATTATTTTGCCAATAAATACTTGATAAAATAATTGAAATAAAAAACTTTTTCTAAGCAAGGATCTAAAAGTGATACAAAAAATACTTTTTTTAGCAGAGATAAAAAAAGAAAAAAGTTGGACAAACTCTCGTTTGAACCAAGCACCCTCAGTCAGAAAATATATTATTATATTCAAACACTCTTCGAAGCGAAAGTGGGGATAATGTATAAGGAAAATTTCACCTTCCTTTACCAAAGCGAACTTGTTTTGCGTTCAACAAGGTTTAATTTGTATCTCTTCTTAACAAATAGCAATGATATAAATGTCATACATAATGTATTTCACAAGAAACAATGTGGCTTGATAATAACAATTTTCATGTCAGTTTCGTGCTGAAACACATATTCCACCGAACTTTAAATATATAATGTACTGTAATTTATTTTGCGAAAATACATAATGTGGTTAACTATTTGAATGCTTTCTACTTGATATTTTAATAAAGTTTTGTCAGGCGCTTTTTCAATTAATACATCTTAAATGACTCGTGTATGTAAATTTGAGTGTTCGCGTTTGGAAATAATTCAGTTTTGATACCATTTGAGCTTTAGCAGGAATAGATCTAACATTTTTTTATCATCTAACCGAATAACGCACGCGTACAAACACGCATATCACAAAGTTCTGTTTTTTTTTTATCTTAGATTATCTTAATACTATTATCCTTAATTATTATTTAATAATGAAATGTGTGTTTCTTTTCTTAAAATGCATTTTAGTAATCCAAAATTTATTTAATACAGAACTAATACGTTTCATGCATTAATGCCTTTCAACTAAATTGAATAAGGAAAAAGAATAAAACTGCCAGCAAATAGTAATTGTAACAGGGTCAAAATATTACATTGCTTGTATCATTAATCAAATTGGCGAGGACAATTCTGTGCACAAATTCGATAGGTTTCCTACATTAAAGTATGTAAAACTTTATATTTAAAATTTAAAAAAATGGTAAAACTATACTGTTTTTATAATATTATGATTGATTTATTTTCTAAAGGGATCTAGCATTGAATGTTCCCATTATTTAGCACATATTATTGGATAGTGTGCGTAAACAGAATAAGATGTTCCGGTGTTACCTGAACAATATACTTAAAGTTTAACAATGATTTCTGTTTTAAGGAACTATACCATCATATTTCTTCGTACAGGCATTTCAGATTTATCATTTTTCATAAATTAAACGTTTGGTGTAAACTGCAGGCAACAAACTGTAATTATACATTCTAATAATATTCGCAAATGACAAATCTCAAAACGAAACGTTAAATATTTAATTCAATTCAAACAATTTAATACAAACGGCAATACAAATACTATGTTTCTTTTACGATCAAATATATTTAGATCCAATTCAAAAGCTATTTATGTAAGAACATTTGCTTGAATCAAAATTCAAGAGTCACTAAAATGTAAGCACTTGATTGTGTTATAACATGAAGTTGCCTCCCTTTATTTTACAATATCATTGAATATTTTTTTTACATGCGGGACGGCTTTATCAGGGTCGAAATATTGTGTCCTTACTATTACATATGACATGGAAATACTAAAAAGACCGGAAATTAAATATTTTATTTTCCTGTATTTTATGGCTTCATGGTCAACAGGGGCGAGTCGTTAAACACGGATACTGATTATAGTCACCGAGGATCGGTTAAAGAATAACCTGAAAAATTTTTGCTTATCGAGTAAATTTAATTGAAAATTAATCACGCTTGTGTCAGTTTTTTACATATTATTTTTTTATACAATGATTTATCAATAACTTCCCTAAGTCTGTCATGATTATGCTTTTAACAAAAAAAAAACAACAAGTATATATGTCCAATTCGTGATAAAGTGAATTACAATGGTTTTGACTCATTATCATATACATAATGTACTGCATAAAATCTTGGAGCATTATAGCAGCTAAAATAAGAAATATAAATGAAGTAAAAACTATTCGATGTTTTATGATTTTATTTTCCTTTTAACAAATCATGTTTGCAAACATATTACTTTCATTTTTGAAGTGATAACAAAATCAAATTATGTTATAATTTTTCTAATAACAAAGTTAACACATTGTTCTGTTTTACGAACCCTAGAATCACTTAAAAGTCATTTAAAAAGAAAGATAATTATACAAAATGATTAAATAATGTAACGTTGAATGATATAGAAGTGTGAGCAATGCCAGCTTTATTATATACATTTTTTTTGCATTAACACGACCACATCTAATGAATATTTTTATTAAAATTTCAAGGTTACGTACCCATTTAAACATACATGAATATGCCATTTGTTACGTCTCGCCAACTTCTAGCGATCATCTCGGAAACAATACGGATTAAAAATAATCCAGCCAAGTGACTTTATGTAATAATTTACATACATGTGATTAATGAGTAACGGTTGTATTATCCAAATGCAGCCCTGTAATACAATGATAGTGAAATAAATCTGACAAAATGATTTGTAGAAATCACTTCGGAATATCTTCAACAAGTATGCCTTTTTATTTGTTATTTTCGTTCGTAAAAACATAAAAACAGGAATTAATAAATATCCTTTTGTACTGTGTTATCTTTATATCAACTTAATCTTAGCCGACTTTTATCCAAAAACATGAATAGTAAAGTAACTTCCAGAATGTATAAACTATGAGAAAATAAAAATCTGTCCCACCCTTTTTATGATTTGAACGTTACAGATAAATGGATAAATATTCACCAAAAATGTAGAAAGGACAAGCGAGTTATTTATCTTTTATGCATGTAAATTATAAAATTGAAAGACATTATAATAGCAGAATGTGAACTTAAATTGACGTTTACGTGTTCACCCACTATATACCCTTGAATGGACATAATGTCATTTTAAACTTTAGCTGGTCATATACCCGCTTAAATGATGTAAGCGTGTATGAACCTATTTAATAAGTCTTTAAATAATAATCTTTATATTGGCATCATAAATAAATATGATGTCTAGTTTATCGGAAATATCCAAGAGCTTTGCATATAGACATTTATAATTAATGTCAAACTGACATTTAATAATCAACAAACACACGCTTTACAACAAACGCAATTTGCTGTAAAGATTTCAATCACCACTTTAGAACCTTTACCGTAATATTGAGCATATTATTTAGTAATCATCAACTGTAACTTATTTTCCAAATATTCTTTAATAACAATACTTTTAGATTGTTAGGAATATTTGATAAATATGCATTAAAGGAATAATTATGTTTAATATCAAAATGAAAAGTGATGAACATAATTCATTTAAATTTACATTGCATCGTTTAAGAAATGAATAAAACAACATTTCAACGGGAAGCGAACTCGTTTTCGAATAGTCTGCCATGTTTATATTTGCTATTTCATTTAATTTCAATAAAAGATAAGGGTCTGTAAAACGTTCAAGGCTCTGTGTCGGAAAGGGCAAAATATTGACAAATGGGCCTATTTCGTTGACGATAGACGTAAGTATATTTGCATGAAATTGTGTAATTAATATCAAAAACAAGTTTACATATAAGACAAATGATAAATGCGTTTTCTTCACACAAAAAAGTCTCATTATTGCTGTATGTTTTGACTTACTAATAAGATGTATAGCTTCTGTATAAGTCAAAGTTAATTAAACGAGAATAAACAATTTTTTTATAAAGAAATAAAGAAAACATATCACCTATTACTTTGAATAATTAAAACGAAAAATAAGGGATGTGATCACATCCATCTAAATTCAAAAACCCGTTATAATCACAATTTTAACAATAACTCCATTTACACTCCACATTAAAGAAATTTATTGTTGTACACTTGACGCTGTTATTGAGCGTCAAGTAAACCTATTTTAACTGCCAGCCATACAAACTTTGCTCTCACATCCTCTTGCATAAGATTAAAGCACATCGCCAATATAGACAGCCCAAACATTAGGTAACAACAACATATGATTAGACGTTCTTTATTGTCCGCGGAGTCTGCACCGCTGATTGATCCAGGAACGTAATCTCCGAAACCAATTGTACTCAATGTTATAAAGCAAAAATAAGAACCTTCTAAATAGTTCCAATCTTCCCACATTGAAAACATTAAAGCTCCTCCCAGGACATATAAAGCTATAATCATTAAACTAACAAATACTGGAACTCGAATTTGTTCGGTTTTGATCGTTTCTTTGGTCTTTGGTTCGTCAAAATCTTCAACAACAATATTTATTTCACTTCTTGAAGGACTTGTACTGCGGCTTCTAGACTTACTTCGTTTACCAGAACCTTTCTGTTTTCCAGAATTAGCAGGAAGAACTTGTAAAGTGTTAACGCCTCCTGAATCCTCACGTTTCCCTTGTAGAGGATCACTCTCTTGAAGAATTTTGTTTTTCGAGTTTGATAAAGACATACTTTTACTTTTAGAAAAACTTTCCTGTGGCGGACAACACATCCACGTTAATAAACGACACAAATGCTTATATAGTAGACGAAAACAATTTCCGAGGAACGAGCCCATGTTTGCCAGACACAGTAATGTAAGAGGTATTCCGAAAAGAGCGTAAAATATCGTCACAAGTTGGCCGTTGAACGTCTTTGGAGCTATATGACCATAACCTGGAAAGACGAGAATTGTTATGTCAAGTATTTCATACAAAGAATTATTGGTTGTACTTCTTGCGTTTTATTGAACAAAAACTTCAACAAAAGTGCATAAACCTGCGGCTCCCGCGTGTTTTAATTAATAATGATCTTTAATAAATAACGATCAGTGAGTGTTCATATTAAAGTGCGCTGCTTATAAATTACAATGGCGTTTAGACATGAATTATTTAATATCACACTATGGTTTCGGACGTGTGTATTACACACATAACAAATTTTGTTTTGCTGTCGAACATGTGTAGACTTAAAAAACAATGTTAAAATAAAGTCTCATTGGTCATAAAGAACATTTTGTGCTTTATACGTGAAATTTTAGCGATTTGTATGTTGTATGGAAAAACAAAACAAAAAACCTTTTCATGTTTAAATTTGATACTTTTATGAGAAATTGTTCTACATTCAAATATAATCAGTATCTAACATTTACATCCATTATTAAAACATTATACATCATATTTTGGCAACCCTCGTAGTTTGTTTTGTATTCATTACAAAAGTCATTGTATTCGCTTATGAGTCTTAACGAGTGACATTGTGTCATTTTTTCTTTGTCTAGGTCAGTTGAATAAGGAATTTATTTAAAAGAATGATTTTTAAAGTGGCATTTGGTCAATGTAATGATTATTTTGATAAAAACTGTCAAACATATATTAAAACAAACTGTCCAACTCTTTTCATCATTTGAATGTCACTGGTGAATTACAAAGAATATTTGAAGACATTTATTTCCTAAGGTCATTTGAATCATTGATAATGTTTGTGAGGTGAATTTGTAAAGTTATTTTTACTCTTACATAGACACTCCCACTTTACACTTGGAATGGCATAATGTCACTTTAATCTGAACCTCGCCATGTCTTTAAATTAGGAGTGGAACATTGTATAGCCTGTACGTTTATTTTTTATATTTTAATACCCAATGCATGATAAATTTCCCTCTGAACAATTGGCAAATAGAACAAAATGACGATATCATGCAAATTACATTACTTGTAAAACTACAATAACTCTGTCGCCGTTTAAGATTTTAAGTTTTATTTCGAAAATATTATGTGGATTAGGACATTCTTGCTATGTGGTAACGAGGAAGATCGAAATGATTTCTTTAAATATTTTTGAGTTGGCAACAGCAATAAACAGAAGAGTCGTCTAATAAGAAGAGATAATGTACACAAATTAACGCCAGATCCGTTTTAATAGTTTACAGTCTAGCCATGTTATATAAGCAATCTTATATAAAAGAAAATTTAAGTATGGTAATTTGTAGATGCTTATAAACTTTGACATTTTATACACTTCGAAAATATTTTAAGTGATATGTTAAACTGTAGAATCAGGTACCTGAAAGAATTCGATGAAATATAATGTTGGAATTTAGACAACTTGTGCTTTTTAAAATAAAGAAAAAAGTAGAGAATAAGATAATTAAGATAAGAGTTACCTATGGTTGTTATCACAGTAACAGCATAGAGCAAAGAACCAGCGTAAGACCACTGCGGAGGTACCACGTCATCATCACCCTCGGCGCCATCCCATCCGTTCTTTTTAGCTTCTAGTACAACCTTTTGATATTTAATTAAAATCAATTCTGCAGCGTGCGTAAAATTTTCTTCAAAGAATATTACATCCTGCTTATCCACAAGATCCCATAATTCAGTTGCTAAGGATTTTCTGTCACTTGTTACTTTGTGTCGTTTTAGAATTTCGTTAGGAGCTTCTAAATTTTGAAATATAAATCCACCAAGTATTGAATATGCAACTACTGCGGAACAAAGTCCTATGTTTGAAAATAGAAATGTTGTGAATTTTTTGCAACATTTTAAGCATTTTTTTGCACACTTTTTCTTCTTGGTCAGACCTTCGCCTTTCTCGGCTCCCGTAAGATCTTGTTGGAATGTTTGTAATTTAGGAATATTATGATCGCCCTCGTTTGAGGTTAACGCTTCATTATACAATGCTAAACGTATACCGTTCCTATCCTCGTGCACTTCCGCCGGCGGATCACGTCTACAACAACAACAACAAAAAGAAGATCTAGTTTTTGACGGACTTCTTGTTAGGACTTTTGATTCGATTTGTTCTGAAGCACCCATTTTCAGGAATTTCTTGAGAATATCAACTAAACATCCGATATTTTAATGCAATGTCGTCTGTAATAATTGCTTAATCACTTTCAATGCAATATCCTGTATCCACATCATTTCTTCCTACACAGCACGTTATTAAATTAAAAGACGTAACTCAGCTAGATCCATTTCATTATTCCTCTTGTACTTTCTCTCACCACGTTTCGCTTTTTTTCATGTGCTTATAATGATCCTGGAAAATAGAATAAAAGATAATGTTGCAATTTTTATTCATATATATAAATATTTGATAATACGACTTAAAGATGAATAAACAAAAATGTTTTATTTATTCTTTAGATAAAGCTTTTAATTGCAGTGTCGCCTGTTATACTATATATTCTTTAGAAAACATTTAGGATATAAATGAAATATACACAGTTGCAACAAATGAAAGCTTCTAATTTGTACAAATTTTAAACACAATGAATAAAGTTATAAAAACAGTCGGACAAAAAATAGTTTAAATTATAAGATTTCCTATAATAGATATTGCCGACCAAATTTCTTCAAATATTCTTCAATTATCACACAATGATCCTAGAGCGTTAACAAAATGGTTGACAAATATGAAATATAATATCAAATCTTCTATTAAAAAATAAATATAACCATGAAAGTCAGAAAATCAGTACGAATAATGTCAGTTTTCAAACTTCGTTTTAGTTGAAACAATAATTGCGAATGTAGATTACAATTAAATGTGTCTTTCATAATTATAGGATACCCATGGTAAGATGTTACATTTATAATTATAAATGCTATTAAAATTAGCTGTTATAAGTATATGTACAAAATAAAACTACCAAAGTCCAAACACTAATCTGAAGGCAAACCTGATTATTTGATATTGTCCTACCAATTTGTTTAACTTAATAAAATCACCGAGCAGTCCTTTAATTAATTACCTTTTCCTGTACTAAAAGTGAAAACTAGTAAAGCCGATGTGGTATGATAACGTTAATATTCCAATAGATAAAGCGCCACGAACACTCCATATTTTCTATCAGCCAAGTGCAAGACTTTGCAATTTATAACACTGAGTAGAAAGTCTTCTACAACTAGAGATTTCCAATAACCGTTCTACGCTAGCAGAGATCAACAATCAACTGCAGTATTTACTTATTTTAAGGCACATGGTCACCTGGTTAACATACCTAGAAGGTTGTTAGTTAATTAATTTATCAAGAAATCTCTATGAATGATAGCTAAATGAAATGCAGATTAATTCAAACGGATGCTTTGCCAGTTGATATTTAGAGCATGTGCTTTGATTTACTGATGGGTTCGATAAAGAGATTATTTTTGTTTCGCTAAATCAAAGAATCGTGACGAAATTATGTATTTCTTTAAAGCGAATACATGTTACTAATTAAGCTGTACAACTCTTTTAAAGATAGTTAGAAACACTTGGAGTTTTGAACATGTTTAAATTGTGTGTATGCCTCTTAAGGCAAAGTTAAACTATTCAACAAGACAAAATAGCATTGTACTTAATAACAATTACAAAAGATAAGAGATGAAAACAACTGAAAACGTTTTACACCCTACAATAAGCATTAAACAAAACACAATACAAAAATCTTGATATATATTTCTTTTGAACAAAAGTGCAAAATAATAAAACAGTATCTTGGGTTTAAAAGCGTAATATACAACTGAACGATATAGCATTTGTTAATTGTATTTCAAAACATCTGGATTCATCGATTTCCTATCACTTTACAAACAAGTTTGTTAAAATGTCAAGTAGCACTCGTAACAAAGACTTAGTGAACACAAGCGGCAAATAAACTAGCAATTAGCAGGTCTTGTTGGGACTATATGACGTAATAAAATCAGCAGGACTTTGAAGCATTTGAATAGTCAGTTACCAATTGATGGAAATCAGCAACAATAGCGTTTGATTAAAACCTACGATACGAAGGAATACGTACAAAATATTTCATTATTTTAACACTTTATCACAGTTACGTCTAATATATACGTTCACAAACGTAGCTAATGGCCATTATTTATCAGCTTTAATGAATGATTCTGTGAGTTAAATTGTAGTCCGTTAAAAGTTGATATATTATATAAAGAAATTGTACGACCATTTCAAATACATTCTTAATTTGGAAATCGCAGAATAAAATTTGTTGTAGATTTATTATAAATAGAATGTATAACAATCTAATCTTCAAATAATACCTACACCATTAATCATAACAATATTCTTGATAATAACATGTAAACAATATAAATAAAATAACTAACAAAGTACATTCCTTTTCTACTTTATTCATAAATAAACCTGATTTACAACACAAGCATATTGTTTTTGTTCAGAAAAATATGTCAGTTTCCTTAACCTTTTTAATATATTGAAACGACAAATTTAATGAATCAAATAGGTTACAAAATTGTTAATGAATTCACTTTTTTTAAAACTTTATTAATGACTTAAATTGTCTATGCATATAAATGTTTACTATATACTAACAAATGAAATATTGAGAAATATTAATGAAATAAAATGTGTATTTTTATTTTCGGTATTATACTGTATAAATTTATTTTTCACTGCAGTGAACTATATTTTTCGTATTTTAATGGTGTTTTACCGGACTACTTTCTTCTAAATTCAGCCAATACACATAAATAAAAGGGAATTCTTCTTATTCATAAGGTTAAAAAGAGAAAAACTATATAATAAACAGAAAATTCATTGTTTTTTCTATAACACACGATTTATTTTCATCTTGTGGTATGAAAATTATTATATTTCTCTCGTGGCTACTGCCACTCGTGCAATATTTATTTTCATACCACTCGATAAATAAATCCTGGACTTATAGTAGAAACTTGAATATCCTCTATATAATACAAGGAACATCAACAGCAAATGGTATAGTTCCGTGAATATAGATAGGAATCTGACATTCTAAAGATTTAGAACATGTTGGCCTATTGTTCTCTGCAGAAACACTGATATCATATAACTGTCTATATTAATTATGACTTTTATATAAAAATAATGGACATTTCATGTACGAAATGATATTGTATTTGCTGAAGGAAATCGAATTTTTCACCTATAAAAAGACAATCATTCTAATCTGGAGAAACCAATACTTTGTTTCATTGGAATCCAATAGTTTTAATTAAAATGGTTTTTATATATAATTTTAGTTGATGACTTGTGTAAATATTTAACTGTCACTTAACGGAAACGCTTTTTCTACACTAATGTGTTTATCAATTAATAATTTTGATGTATAGGCTTGAACATTTTTTATGAAATTTAAATAAGCCAGCTCAATATTTTAGTCTTTAAACTATAAATTTAGGTAAAAAATAAAGGGTTTGTTCAACTTTGTTCGTGTATTAACATCTGCAGAAGCACTAGGTTTAATTTAAAGTCCGAGTCTGTAGGGCAATGTTTTAAATAAGTCCAAGGTTTTCAGTAGATACGTTATTGATGAACGAAAAAAGATGCATTGCGCTATTCTTGCATAATGTATACATCGCACTTGGTAATTGAGCGATTCATTAAATCAATATTGTTCAGCATCAAATGAAAATGCAATAAATTCTATGTGAACAAACATTTTGTAACAGTCAATAAAATATGTTTTGAAAAATGTAATTCTTATTTCAGTGATGATCTGTGTGATCTGTGTGAATCATTTATGACCATTTGAAATGAAAGCTTTTGTCGTTTTCCCTGTTGAATTATTTTTTACAACTTTTGTTTTGTTAAAAGGAGTGGTGGCATGGCCGAGAGGTTAACGTACTGGGCTAGTAAGCAAAGGATAACTGGTAGCCTTATCTTATTTGATTAATTGATTATGTTTAGCAATAAAACTATGACAAAACGATCAGAGCTTAAATGCCGTTTCTATCAAATTACAATATGAATTTTAACGCACTCTTTTAATATGTTTGGTGAAACTAGATATGCTAGATATCATCATGAAATTCAATAACAAAACACTATATATTTATCTTGCATAATGTATACATCGCACTTGGTAATTGAGCGATTTATTAAATGTGTTTTCGGGCAGAGAAATCAGTTTACTTACACACATTTTACGTGTAACGGCGATGCAATCTGACATTAATGTTTGTCATGGACTAAGTGATAGTATTAGAATTATCAGACCTGACATGCATGTATTTCAAAATAAATTACAAGTAAAAATCATACGCTTTATTAAAAATAGAATATTTAGTTTTCAGAATGTCAAGAGTTATTCTTGATCTTTACCTGTTGCATGTTACAATTTCACATAATTATTGTATTATTTAGAAAATAAGCCTTTTAAATCAAATACTGCACGATTAAATGTTAACTATAATTTAACCTTTATCTAATTATGGCAAAGTACAATTACGACTTCCAATTTGTCAAGTAAATCGTTCAACAAATTCCTCAAAATGCAAAAAATTGCATAACATCAATGTTATCAGTCTTTTAGGACTGCTATAGTAAATATTAAACAGCTTGATGTTTTATTGTTGATATTATAAAATTCTATAGTATAAACGTATGCTTTACAGCAGGGACTTGCTATCTAATGATAGCGAATTGATATTATATCCCAAAGTATTTTACGCTTGAGCTGCACCCTCTCGTTTTACGATGCCAGTCGTTTATCGACTTATACTATGCTCATATGTAACATTAACTATTAGATATCGTCTCAAAGGAATGTACTAAATAATACTTTAAATTTAAAATGTACAGAAAATGAATAGAGTATTTGACAATGCTAAATAGGGAAGATGGATAAATGGCAAAAATAAAGAACAATAATTATGTAATATAATAGGTATATAATACATAGGATTATATAATCTAAATAAAGCCTCAATATAGATGCAATCTCATTGGTCCAAACAGTAGTCAACAGAACTATTCATCAAATCATATTCACTGGGTGAAGTATCATATTCTCTGGCTAAATTGGATTTTCAATGACACACTTGTTTATAATAGTATAATACTTCTAATTAAAATACTGAGGTCCTTTTTGTTTCTTTTAATTTTCATTGCGTATGCCCCTTAAGAATTTTTATACTATAGCATATTCTTAGTTTTCTATTATGAATTCATTTAAAAATTTATTAATACGTCCGTTTTCCATTCCTTGTAGCAAAATGATAATGAAACATGATTAAATCATAAGCCCAAGTGACCTTATATAGCAGCATTAATGTCTTCTCATTGTAAACCTGCTATTGTAAATTGACACACGAATATTTATATTTATCATAAATATCAATTTGATATGACACTTTATATGAAACAAATAGTTCAGAACATTTATGCCTAATACATTCCTTTGTCATTTATGTAATTAAGAATGTTTTAGTACAAATATTTTAACAAACGATTAGATCCTATCAATTTACAAGTACAATTTGGTTATAAATATTTAGTGTTCATCCCTATCGAGGCATTATCGTGAAATTTAATAGCCCAAAACAACTCATTCATTGAAAACTATCTACTAAAGTGAAGCACACAATATTGTTCAGCATCAAATGAAAATGCAATAAATTCTAAGTGAACAAATATTTTGTTACAGTCAATAAAATATGTTTTGAAAAAAGTAAATCTTAAATTTTATTTCACTGATGATCTGTGTGAATCATTTATTACCATTCGAAATTAAAGTTTTTCTCGTTTTCCCTTTTGAATTATTGTTTAAAACTTTAGTTTTGTTAAAGGGAGTGGTGGCATTGCCGAGAGGTTAACGTACTGGGCTAGTAAGCAAAGGATTACTGGTAGCCTTATATTATTTGATTAATTGATTATGTTTAGCAATAAAACTATGACAAAACGATTAGAGCTTAAATGCCGTTTTCATCAATTTACAATATGAATTTAATCGTACTCTCTAATATGTTTGGTGAAACTAGATATCATCATGATATTCAATAGCAAAACACTATTTATTTATCTTGTTCCATATGAATTAATGGTCCACAGGAAACCTTATTGAGCGTGAGCTATGAATGCAATAAAGCTTTGATAAACAAAGACTTTTCTCAATAGTGTTAAATATTTGATTTCAAATGATGATTAATATAATACTGTCATACATTTATTTTCTGG